TCAAGGAAGGTGAAAGAAAACGGGAACTCATCTTTCAGGTGGACGACAGAAAACGGAAAGCCCTCTTCCAGGCGGGTGAGAGAAAACTGTACCTTTTTCTTCCAAGTGGATGAAAGAAAAAGGGAACCTCCTCTCCACGGCGAACGACAGAAAATGGAACGTGGAGAAAGAGACTTTATTCCACCATTACTCCAATAACATCATTTGTTTTTCATTATTATTATTATACCAACGTTGACATTATTACTATCATCAATAATTCCAACTCGTAAGTATTCTCTTGTCTTCATAATGAATAAGAAAACACAATACTTCAGCCATTTCAGTGGTTCGCGTTTAGCATATTTATTGACCAACTGCTCGAGATTATTACATAAATAATGACCAAAAATACACATTCTTATCCAGACCTGATTTTAGAGTCATACCATCATACGTCTACACACTAATATTTGCTGTCCTGTTTTAAATGATTGAAAACACTGTAGATGACTTTTAAATTACGAACACATGACTCTTAGCCATCCATTATGCCGAGTCTGGTACGTCAGTATATTACAGAGAGACTTATAATGCTCAGCCCTAAAGTCTTATATTTTCTTCAATGGCTGATATGTCCCAGAACTTTATTACTAAAACTATACCGATTACCATGACATTATTCTCTTGATTAATTACTTATTATCTAAAGGTAAAAAATATTACCTGCATTGAGCCGTTTAATTCCCTGCTATTATAATTACATTCTTGATATTAATATTATTACTTTATTAATAGATATAACTGATCTCTGCTTTGGGTTATATTAAGTATTATGTATCTGACTCTGATCAATTTACCTTTCGCTTATATTATATTATATATTTATAATAGTATGTTACCAACGACAACCAATAATTACGATGACAACAACAACATGTAAAGATCGTATACACAACTACAGACAATTATTCCCCTAATCATCCAATAATCTTTAGAGTATTGTAGAAATGAATAAACTTCCCGATTATTCATCACTATAATTCACCGTAAAATTATTATACAGAATATAGTCAGCATTATATTGTGTGTACTACTGTGTGTAATCTTGTCCTTATAGGGTATGATAGTAACCTGTTATTTATTCGTATTGATAAACAAGATTATTTCATCCACTCACCAAGCATAACATTTACCCACTCACCAAGCATAACACTTGACCACTCACCAAGCATAACACTTGACCACTCACCAAGCATAACACTTGACCACTCACCAAGCATAACACTTGCCCACTCACCAAGCATAAGTCTTACTCACTCATCAAGTATGTACACACACACACGCCTGTTAATACAGTACTTACAAAATCAATCGAAATGGTATGTGTCTGATAAACGTTCACAGTGGAAGACAAATAGGAAGATTATTATTATTATTATTATTATTACTATCAACTGTATAGTTTTAACATAGTTACTTGAATTATTATCATCACATAATAATAATAATAATAATAATAGACTTAGTGTTATTAATAATATCTGCTATTATCAGTAACATCAACATAATTATCATTGCAATTTATACTGATCTTAAATACTAAATATTGATACCGTCATTATTTGTTCTTATTTGGAAATAATTCAATTCTCAACAGGCAGACCAAAGTGATATAACCAAGAGAACAATTTGCCTTCATTACTTTTGTATGTAATTAACACAAATAATTAGCTGGAAGAACACTCAGTAATTTACATAACAGATACACAGAAAATAGTAGTAGTAGGAAAAGTATAAAGTAGTAGAAGTAGCATTTGTAGTAGTAGTAATAATATGATATAAGAAATCCTATATATGCTAAGGATATACAGATACACGTATATGGATGAATATATCTTGAAAACTCTATATAATAAACCACTCTTATATCTATGGTCGATTGAATCTATAAACATTAGCGGGAAAATGCCACTGTCAAGGTAAATCAGTGAATCAGGTGATATGACAAGGTGAGTCTCTTTATTAAGACATCTCGTAAATACTCTCTCTCTCTCTCTCTCTCTCTCTCTCTCGTCTTCTCTACCACCACCATTATCACCACCACTATCACCACCATACCGTCACCACCAATCATCACCATCACCACTACACACACACACACCTATCATCTGACCTGACTAGTATCACCATCAGCCTTCCTTTCTACACTATCGTTCACCATCACTATCACCACTTCCCCCCCCCCTCTCTCCGCGCCCTCTTATCGGCGTCACCATCAGATGGACCACTAGGCGACAATTATGATTACCTGGGGGGAGGAGGGGGGGTGAGGAGGGAGAGGGGAGGGAGAGAAGGAGGGGGGGGTCGCTCATTCTGTAAACACTATGAAGATGACCACCCTGATAGGCACTCACACACAGACCCCGCTAACACCGTCACCTCCACGGCAATCAGTCAAATCCATGTTCTGATTATCCCAAACCACAGCATATGACAACCAGGTATTTAATGTGATCTAAAAAAAAATTGTCACCTGTGAGTTTAATAGGATGGTTCTTGGATGGTCGAAGGTTACGCGTGTGTATATAAAAGGTGATTGTGATGTTAGGATGGTTCAGTTCCTTACGCAGACTGGCTACACTTCTCCAGTCAACAGTTGTCACTCGTATCTGATGCGACCTGACAGGGTAGGAGTCACGGAGAGGGGGGAGGGAAGAGGAATGGGAGAGGGGAGGGGGAAGAGGTGAGGGGAGGGGAAGAAGTCAGGGGGAGGAGGAGAGGGTGAGGGGAGGAGGAAGAGGGTGGGGGGGGGAGGGGAGGAAAGAGGTGAGGGGAGGAGGAAGAGGGTGAGGGAGGGAGGGAAGTGGTGGGGGAGTGGGAGGTGGGGAGAGTAGGAGGGGGAGAAGTGAGAAGTGAAATACACTCATCCACTATCAGGGGTCACTACCTGGGGTTACTACTACCTGAAGTCACAACTACCTGGGGTCACCACTACCCGGGGTCACCACTACCCGGGGTCACCACTACCCGGGGTCACTACTACCTGGGGTCACCACTACCAGGGTCACCACTACTTGGGGTTACTACTATCTGGTCACAACTACCTGGGGTCACCACTGCAGGGGTCACTACTGCCTGGCGTCACCACTAACTGAGCTCATTATCTGGGATCACACTACCTGGGGTCACACTACCTGGGAGTCAACACTACCGAGGGTCACCACTACCTGCTGTAACTACTACCTGGGATCACCACTACCTGAGGTCACCATTACCTGGGGTCACCACTACCTGGGGTCACCACTACCTGGGGTCACAACTACCTGAGGTCACAACTACCTGAGGTCACCACTAACTGAGATCACCATTACCTGGGGTCACCACTACCTGATCACAACTACCTGAGGTCACAACTACCTGAGGTCACCACTAACTGAGATCACCATTACCTGGGGTCACCACTACCTGAGGTCAACACTACCTGGGGTCACCACTACCTGAGGTCACCACTACCTGGGGTCACAACTACCTGAAGTCACAACTACCTGAGGTCACCACTAACTGAGATCACCATTATCTGGGATCACCACTACCTGGAGTCACCACTACCTGAGGTCACCAATACCTGAGGTCACCAATACCTGAGGTCACCACTACCTGAGGTCACCAGTACCTGAGGTCACCACTACGTGGGGTCACCACTACCCGGGGTCACAACTACCCGAGGTCACAACTACCTGAGGTCATCACTATCTGGAATCACCACTACCTGAGGTCACCACTACCTGGGGTCACCACTACCTGGGTTCACTAATTCTTAATGGTCACCATTACCTGGGGTCACTGCTACCTGGGGTCACTACTACCTGGGGTCACCACTGGAGAGAGAGAGAGAGAGAGAGAGAGAGAGAGGCGACAACCTGTTGAACGACACAGTGTACAGATGTGTGTGAGTGAGAGAGAGAGAGAGCCACCCAGTCGCCCCAAGTTAAGTCTTAATAGTTCATTCACATCGTCCTCAACACCTTTTGTTTACCGTCCAGTTTACACCCAAGTGACGACCTCAAGCAACTGGGAGACTGAAGCACCGCCAGTCTGAGTGTCGTTGTGTTCCATATTGCTTCATTAGCGCTTACTCCTTACTGATAACGCCTTCATCCACGAAGGGAATTTTATTAGTTTATTGTCTTGCGTATTGGTAGAATTTATTCTCTTTGTTTTGGTTGCGTGAAAATGCGTCTCTCTTAATATCTATTCAGAGATGAGGAAATATTGTATTATACTTCAATTATTACATGTAATGTTTAACGCGTGTTGACGGGAGGGGGGGAGGGGGGGAGGAGATATCCAGTATGTACCCTGTATATATAAATATTTGTGACAGGGAGAAAAGGTGGTGACAGCGAGTGGCGAAGTAAACAAGTAACATCACAGGTTGGCAGCCCTGACGGTGACGTGAGGGGCGGGGCTTATAGAGGCGTCCGCTCCTGATAAAGGTGCCAAATACTGCCATCACCGTTTTCCTCACATCACAGTACGTTATTGTATTATTTAGTTAGTGTTTCATCATTTATAAGCATATTTACCACGGTGAATTACTTGAGAGTTATTATATATGTCTGTTGTCGTATAATAAATATGTTATGGTAAGCACAGTGTGTTTGGTTCAGTTGCTATTGCGCTGTTTTATTCTGGTGTGATTATCTTGGAAAAAATATTATTACATCGATAGTTTTTAAAGTATTCTGTCTGTGAAATTTACTCCAAAGTATCATAAGATCATACGAGGCTGTGAGAGAAATATTATTCAATAATTTATGCATGGTATCTCAGCTGACAGCGGACGACTCTATTTGCTCAGTGTCCTGGTAGGCGGGATCTAACCTCCCAGCCAATCACGTGAGTCTATCTCAGAGTCAATTATCCAATCAGCGTTATCCTGGAAGGCAGATGGGTCTCGCTGATTGGTTGTCGGTACATTAAAGTGCTTCATCACGCTTTGACGGGATGCCAGGAATAAACCGTACATTGTGCTCCCAGTATCAGCGTAGCGGCCGTCGCACTAACCGCTTGTAATTGTGATAATTGTGTTGTGTGTGGAGGCAGTGAGTGAGACGTACTAGCATGCTGGACCAGGAACTACTAGCCAAGGGGGGACTGACGGAGGCGCAGCAGCAGCCACCCCCACCTCACCTCACCAACCCGTACTCGCAGTTCCAGCAATACCAGCAGAGTATGGCCGGCTACAACAACATGGGCTACGGTTTCCCCGCCATGTACGCCCAGAACGGCTACGGCTACCCACTTACGGGCTACCCACATGCCCCTAGCCCTCCCTCAGACGGTAAGCTGCGTGCGCGCGTGTGTGTGTGTGTGTGTGTGTGTCTGTGTCTGTGGCGCGGAGCAAGTCTTAACCCTTTACCGCTGCGACCACCCGCTGGGGATTGCTTCAGTTACCACCCCCACCCCTTTACCCCAACCATACATACCTACCTACCTTCCTACCTACCCTCCCCTCTGCCGCTTCCCTTACACCTCCGGAGGGTCAGAATCTCGAGTAGTTGAGGGAGGTGGAGGAGGTCTTCTTCCCGTGAGGGCGGCAGGCGGCGTCGCACCAGCAGCGCCGCCGTCTCCGCCACCCGCAGCGAGCGTCCGACAAAGCGACCCTCCCTCCCGCTGTAACTCACCCCTGCCACCCTCCGGTCCCTCAGCGGCGACCTGTGTTGCTATGTTGCAGACTATTGTTGTTGTAATGTATTCCTGTACCTCATTATCTTCCTCCTGTACATTTCTTCTTCCTGTGTCTTCCTCCTCCTATAATCTTCCTCCCTACCACCCTCCTCTCCCTCCCTCTATCCAATCTTCATCACCATTCTACTGTTTCCTCCTATCTTCCTCCCCCCCCCCCGGGCGCCTCCTCCTCATCGTCATTATAGTAACGGAATCATTATTATCATTATCCCCATTACGATAAGTGCATAATGACCGCACACACTCCAGTACCCCATCTCTTCCTCTTCCACGTGGGTTTGTTTACTAACTCCACCTGCTCATTAATGCCTCTGGCTCCCACACCTTTATTTACTACACATTTTACTCCATTCACAACGCTAATGACTTGTCTATTTTTAGGTGAAGGTAGTAAGTCAGTCGTATTGTAGAGGTGTGAGTTGTGATGGCTAGCGGGGTGGTCCCTTGTCTTCCTCCACTCGTCGTATCACCGTTTTCCATTTTTTATTTTATTGTTGTAACTGTTGTGTTTAGGTTAGGTGCATTGTTTGGATGATGCTGAAAACATTTAGCTGTGGTGATGTACTATAGCTTACAGTCTTCCGCTGGTGGATTAGGTTACCATATTCCACACCAGCTGACAGTTTGTTTTTAGCTGTCAGTCAGTTACTCTGTCGGTGTGTGGCTTAAGAGCGGCGGCTTACACTGTTACTCCTCCCGCTGGTGGTAGACTTCCATATATACATGATTTTCTCCAGCATCTGATCCACTCACTGTCAGGTCAAGAGGTAGTTCCTGGGTCACACAGCCACTGGCTCACTCATGGCCCTTGTCTGGAGATCTCGACGCAGTTTATTTGTTTTGTTCCGAGATACAAGGGCCGGCCAGTGTACCTGTACCGATTATTGTGGTTGTACTTATCTTTACTTGGTTATCATTATTTCACGCAAGAAAATACTGTTATTTAATAAAAGGAAGGTTATTATTATTGAGAGGCGCTACACGGAAACACTGCTCAAGTATATATAATCCTCACGTGGTTCTTGGAAATCGATAGATGGGCAACAGTGTTATATGTTACGCGCGATTTTGGAATCCTTTCTTAAAATAATGCGACAAAAACACACACACACACACATAACCTAAAGTAATGATCTTGGTTTATGTCTTGGTTAGGTTAGGTTTCGTTTAGTTAGTCGGTGTAGTGCTAATTTGTTGAGAATTCCATGATCGCGCAAAACGTCCATGCTACCTGAATGAGCGTCCCGGAGGTGGTATGAGAGCTCGGCGGGGTGCCTGCTGCAGGGTGCTAGAGGGCGCCCAGCTGAGCTCCTTAAAAGTATCCCGAGGCGTTGCCGCTCCAGGGGTGCTTACGAGGGCATCCTGCTGCAGGACTCCCAACGTGGGACTCATTGTACGTCGCTGGAGGTGATTAATGGGGTCATCCAGCAAGGTGTTGGTCTGCTGGCCGCCATCACGCTCCGGTGTTGGTCATTAAGTCTTCTTGGTGGGGAGAAGCTCACGCCGCATTGTCCGATGTTCTGGGTCTGTGTCGCTGTACATAACCTGGACACAGTGAAATACGTTTCTATCTTCGGTGACAGATTTCCTTGTGTACTCAAGCCTCTCTCATCCTTACTCTCAGTACACCGTCTCTCCCGTCAGTGATCATAAACAACGGCAAAAGACACAAAAAAAGCTTAGGAACTATAAATATTGACCTCTGAGTACTCCAGCTTAATTATAATTTACAATCCCGGACGCTTCGTGCTTCCAGTAATGGCCGAGTCCACACAGCTCCGTTCACACCTCAAAGGCCCAGACGCTATGCCGTATTTTATTATACCATGGCATCTGTCAATAACTAGCTTACCTGTTGTACCAAGCCAGCGTGTTTATGACCTGCTAACTGAACTGTGCCTATAAATTATAGTGAGAAATTGGCAATAAGAAACTTCGTACTGCCTCTGCTGGGTCTCAGATACACTGTGATCTTCATATTTTAATCCGTCCATTTAAGTTACTGCGGCCGATATTACACCTTCCGACTATATGAACTGGCTATGTTTTTTTAGTCAGAGAATGTCAGCGCGTTAATGATTCCCCGGCGTCATGGCAGAAAATCTCTCCTGTTTGCAAATAAGATCCAATTTTCTCGGTTGTTTACATGGCTCTCTGACCGAGGACATCGAGTCATCCTTTATGCATGAGATCCCGCCGCCGCTCTTAATACCAAGGGAATTTTTCAAACGGACTCAGTTCTTTCTCAACCCTTTTCATTCTCGTATATTAATTTTATTATTGATATTCCTGTAGCAGTACAACCACTTGTTAAGTCAACCAAGCTCTTTCACCTTGTTCACCTTGAAAGTCCATCCACTGGAGAGCCTTCAACGATCTCCGGCTGCCTGTGACGGCGTGACCCTTTCCCGCAGCAAGGCTAATTCTCTCTTCTCTTGCAGTGACGGAGAAGACGGAGGGAGGTGAGGTTCGTGTGACAGCCAAGGGCAAGAAGGTCAGGAAGCCTCGCACAATCTACTCATCTTTGCAGTTGCAGCAGCTTAACAAGATGTTCCAGAGGACGCAGTACCTCGCCCTGCCCGAGCGCGCTGAGCTGGCCGCCAAGCTCGGTCTTACGCAAACTCAGGTGAGGAGTGAAACGTTACAGTACTTTATATATCAGGTAAAGTAAGTGCTTGCTGAACTTATTGTAATTGAGAATGTTGACTCGCAGGTGAGGAGATGCTGTGAGTGTACTGTTGAAGGCGAGAAGCTATGGCGATGCTGTGCTAGTCTTTGTGTGGCTGTGACGCGCCAATGAGGTTTATTCCTAAGAGATGAAAAAGTTCAGCGCACAGTTATATAAATATTATTATCCGATGGAATTTCACTGTCTAAAAAAGACATTGCTGTAAAGGGTTTAAGTTAACTAAATTATTTAAAGCAGTTCTTAAAACAGTTTTTCATTGACTGAGAACATTCAGCTGTTATTTATTTTATTTGTATTTTTCATAAGAGACCGGAAAGATGGTATCCTATAATGACTGACGTTTTTTTCACTGGGACCTTTTGGTAATGTCATCGAAGTACCTTTGTGAGCGTTTAGGCCCACGCACCTCCAGGTATCAACACTGACGGAACACTCTCTTGGGCGTAAAGGAATCATCACTTGGATCACTCAGTATCGTTATATTTCTTAATATAATTTTGGAAAGCACGTGAAGATTAGGCATCCTATTTCACCTAATGATTAAACACCTTAAAGTCACCTGAATGAGGGTTAGGTTAGCGATAGGGTGGTTCATCTTAAGGTGAAATGTGCTGAGGTGCCTAATATTCACGTGATACTTTTTTCCTCGTCTAGATTATTTCAGTGAAGGAGACACGACTATTACCCGTGTCATCTGGAGGTGCGGTCTTGAGGCTTTTTGTTTATGGCTAGTTTAGGATTTTGTCGATATTCACCAGTGCTGACTTGTGGTCGCTTTAAGACTGTTGAAGGACCGCACTCAGCTGCAGCAATTTGTTCGCATAGACGGCATGAGGTGTGTCTAGGGCTCTTCACAAGTGTGCGCTGAGGGAGGGAGGGTGAAGGGGAGGAGCAGCTCGCCGCCCGCCATACTGGGAGTGAACGATAGGTCTCAGGTCTCCGATACGACGCCATATTGTGTACAGGCGACTATTACACGTTCTTTATATTATGGGGATTATGTATCCAACACGTATTGTACATTATATCGATTTAGTGTAACGGTTTATTTTTGTCTTTTCTTTCTCTTGTTTCATTATTTTTTATAAGTTGACTTTAGGATTTTTATACAAACAACTGGTGATTAAAAAAAAATGATAATTTAAAAATAATGCAAGAAGCTTTTTTTTCATTACTACTGAGATTATTTTTCCTTTTCTTCCTCTCGTTTTTATTCAATTTCCGGGAGTTCTTTTCCAGGACTGATAAGCGAATGACTAAAAAACAAAAGGTTTCGACTTTATACAAAATGGTTTAATATTTCCATTATTATTGCCATTTCTTCTTTCTCTTTCTCTACTTTTTAATCATTTTTCAAAGGCTGGTGGTTTCCAGGAATTACAACTGAGTGTCTGTAAAATGAAAGATTGGTTCCCTCGCCTCACCGGACCAGTTCCTGACATGGGTCTGTGTGCTCACGGGGCAGAAAAAAAAACTATTGATAATACTTTCACACTGAGGCTGTATAACAACACGTACACGCCAGCCTCACACTCACACACACACACACACGCACTCGTCTCCACCAACACCCAGTACCACCAACATGTCCAACATCACCACCACACACCCGTCTACACCACATCACTTCTACCACCATCAGTACCACCACCATCACTACTACCACCATCAGTACCACCACCATCACTACTACCACCATCAGTACCACCACCATCACTACCACCACCATCAGTACCACCACCATCACTACCACCACCATCAGTACCACCACCATCACTACTACCACCATCACTACTACCACCATCAGTACCACCACCATCACTACCACCGCCATCACTATCACTACCACCAACACTACTAACTCCACTACCACTATCACCAACACCTAATAGCAGTTGTGACAAGCTGGCAAGAACACCGCTAAAATTACATTAAAAAAAATAAGTTATTTTACTCTAATAAACACCACAACAACACTTAAAACCAACAACAACCATTACAACCACCAACAACCATTACAACCACTGCATCCTTTATAATGATATAATTGTACTACACATTATATATAGTTTCGGCTGAAGTATAACGGAAGATCGACTCTGAATTTACCTGAAGCGGCAGGTAGTCGTGGCCTCAGTGCCTTCGACGTTACGGTAGGCAAACACAAATCACTGAACTGTATTTTGATTTGTACATGAACGAATGACCCCTGAGCGATATATACTGTGACAGTGTTGAGTGGGATCGTTCCTACTGAAGTCAAACTGAATTCGGTGATGATTCGTGTTCAGTCTATCGAAAACCTCGGGAAGACTCCAACTATTTGACTCCTTTTAAGTGAATTCACCGCCGTTGTTTTTTTTCTTGTTAAATAAAAAAAATAGCAAAAACCCTAAAAAAAATAGTTAATAAGGACACGAGCCTGGGAGACCATAACCAGGGAACAACCACTACAACGAGTCATTTCAACTAACAACTACACTCACAACTAACAACTACACTCACAACTAACAATTATCACAACTATAACAACGACCACAAGATCAAATACCAAAGCGGCTAACAACTGCCAAACAACAATGATTATAACAACAAAACATCCATTTACAAGCAACAACCACAATCACTGGAGCTGACTACAACCAACAAGAATCATGCCAACTATAACCAGCTTTACAACGGACAGCGGCGCCGTACAGACAGTTGACTGCACTAGACACGCCACACCTCCGGCATGAGACAAAAAAACACACACACCTGAACTATATTACGGAGCTCACCAACGGCCCTGGTGATTTGTTTCAAGAAAAAATCTATATCATTCGATCTTTTTCTTTTATAAGGAATTGTAGAATATGTGGAGAGGGTGGGTGGCGGCGGCTACCAGCGCTGGTCGCCCGCTGATCCACTTTCCAATAACCTTGTGTTCACCATTACTGTTAACAGACAGCTACAGTGTGTTCATGTGTCAGCCACTCTTGGTATTTATGGTGTCGTACAGTGTTCACCCACGTATAATATATATATATATATATATATATATATATATATATATATATATATATATATGTGTGTGTGTGTTCAGGGTTCAGCACTTTTATTTCTAAATCATTGATTATGATTATTTTTTATTACTTTTATTATTGTTATTATTATTACAAACATACATTCGTATTCGTATATACATAAACGTTAATATATACATGTACGTATAATTTTCCCGCACATTTAACTTAAGAGCACATAAACATGTACATATTACATACAGAGTCCCAGACGACCTGTGCTGGCCGAGCCTCGCCTAACGTTCACTATGTGTCAGTCTCACCACCATAAATTATCTCTCACATTATAACTCGATCTAATGACAGCAACAAATGCACCTGGTACACATCTAATACCGAGAATTTTAATTAATCACAAGATACTAATTGGGTCATGAGGGGACTATTGGTACTGTGGCAGCCATGACGACAGCAATTTATCCTTTGCTGTGTTTCACTGTTTACACCACTTACTCCCGCCTGTCACCTCTCGGTCGCCGTCCTCATTAACCACGTCACCGAGACATTAACTGAACATCATGTTAATGTACTGTACACACCTACACCTTCCTCACTATTATTACATAAATCTCCCGTCCAGCAACTGTGTCTGTGCTGAAATATGGTTTCCTGCAGTAATTATGATGTATACACACACACACACACACACACACAGGTGCTCCCAGCTGTTCACTTCACCCTACCTCCAGTTGATGACTCCTGTACCTTAACTTCACCTAAACATGACCCGGATGTTAAGTTATGAACACTTGGGTCCCGGGATTAGATAACCAAGATTACTCGCACTATTTACTGTCTTGTGGCTTGAAGACACTGTGTATGGTAGGTACCGATGTGTTTTAATGACTGTGTGTACGTGTTGGTGTACAGATGTGCGCGTGTGTATGTGTGTGAACGGTTAGGTTAGGCAGGGGGCTCACGAAGGGGGGGAGGGGAGAAGGGGTGGAGGTAGCCAGCCATCTCACCTCCCATCCCAACAGCACCTTCTGTCTGTCTTGGCTAGCCACTTTCACCACTACTCCCCTGCTGCCTCCACCACCACTACCTGTACTACTACCCTCCACCACCACTATTACTACCCTCCACCACCACTATTACTACCCTCCACCACCACTATTACTACCCTCCACCACCACTATTACTACCCTCCACCACCACCACTACTAATACCCCCCACCACTACCTGTACCACTACCCTCCGTCACCACTACTACCCCCAACACCCATTATCTTTTAAACTATTGCCGTCACCATTCCCCACCACTACCCTCACGCTGTTTTCACCATCACCCTGACAGAGATCACCATCACCACCTCACCATCACCACCACCAGGTCAGGCTCTCACTTCCACTGATTATTTTCTGCCATGATAACACAAGTCTTGAGAATTGATATATTATGGTATCTCCTGAGGATTAGAGAGAGAGAGAGAGAGAGAGAGAGAGAGAGAGAGAGAGAGAGAGAACACATCTCCTCCCCAGTTCTCCCTCCATCTAATATTCAACCCCATACTCATTATCCTAAAAGGCACACAACCCCCCCCCCCAAGCAGCTTTAATCATTTAACAAACACAGTCAACAATGCTAAACACCTCAGAGTTGTGTGTGAGTGAGTGTGTGTGTGTGTGAGAGTAAGTGTGTGTGTGTGTGTGAGTAAGTGTGTGTGTGTGAGTAAGTGTGTGTGTGTGTGTGTGTGAGTAAGTGTGTGTGTGTGTGCCAATAGCTAACAATTCGACTGCCTTTTCTCGTCCACTCATCTTAGGCTCTAGAGAATCAGTGACTTTTTAAAACCCCCGATGTCTAATATCCAGCAGAAAATAATAAGCAGCTCATTATGGCATGGAATGAGGTCGTTTGTTAATTAATGGCC